CTTAAATTATAATCACGCTTGTTTTTTATATGCACTTTTTTGAGTCGTTCCACAATTTGAGATGCAATATTTTGAAACGATTCAATGCGTTTTTCAAGATGGGTGGGCATTTCAGAGGAGGGAGTGTTTATGTCTGTCTCGAAACTGTCCCCTCTTATCCTATGCTCTTTTCCAAAATTGGTAAAGTATGGGGTATATTGGGTGGATTCATGGCGTGCTGTGCGAAGGGCGCATGCAATGGCTGACAAGCTAGCATCCCAGTGCCTATGATTATCTTTTATGAAGGTGCTTAATAGTTGTTTTACCACCCGATTGACGCGTTCCGCTGGGTCGGCTTTCGGGTAATATAAAGGTGTAAAAAGAATCTTTACGTGATACTGATCGCATAAGTTAATAAATAATTTACTTCGCATCTGAACGCCATTATCGCACACGATAAACTGAGGGACACCAAACATTAAGAAGACATGATCTTCTACACATTTTACCAAGGTTTGAGCCGTAGCTGCACGTACAGGAAATAATAGCACAAATTTGCTGAAATAATCACTAATGACTAGAATGTGAGTATGGCCTTTGGTCGAGCGTGGAAATGGACCCATAAAATCTAAACTAATCATTTGCCAAGCTTCATATACTTTGGGGCGATTACCCATTAAACCCGCAGGTTTTTGTTGATCAGCTTTGTGCTGAGCGCAAACTTCACAGCGTGAAATGTAACGTTTTATATCACACAGCATCTTCGGCCAATAGTATCGCGTTTGTAACCTCCAAAATGTTTTGTACACCCCCAGATGACCAGAAGTCACCTCATCATGATGAGTGTGTAAAAGGGTCATTCGACAATCTCGCGGTACCACCAGTTTCCAATTTTCGTATTCTGTGGATATGGAAGGACGTTTAATATGTTTATATAAAAGATCATTCTCGACGCGCCAACCAGGGTATTTATGCGGAGCGTTTTCTAAGTTAGTAAACATATTTTTATACCATGTATCGGTTGTATTTTTGAAACTTTCAAGCTCAGTTTGAGTTGTTTGGGTGATGGTGTTAATGTGTACGGGCACAGAACGCGATAAAAAATCAGGCACAAGATTTTCTTTGCCTTTCCGGTGCACTAATGTAAAGGTGTAAGGTTGCAATCGCAGTGCCCACCGAGCAAGACGTCCTTGCGGGTCTTTTAAGGAGTGAAGCCAGAGAAGTGAATGGTGATCCGTCACTACGGTAAAATGAACACCTTCAAGGTAGTGTCTTAATTGTTCGATGCTCCATATGACAGCGAGGCATTCCCTTTCGGTGGTGCTGTAATTTCGTTCGGTCCTAGTTAAGGATCGAGACAGGTAGGCAATCACTTTTTCACCGTCTTCAAAGGTTTGTGTCAGCACGGCCCCCAACCCGTATGCGGAAGCATCTGTTTGAAGCACGAAAGGTTTATCGAAGTCTGGACATTGTAACACTGGAGCTATGGATAACAATTCTTTCAAATGTTGAAATGATTTTCCACATTCAGCACTCCATTCAAATTTAACATTCTTTTTTAGCAGATCAGTCAAGGGAGTTGCTACAGTAGCAAAACCTGGTAAGAAACGTCGATACCATGAACAAACACCGAGAAAAGAACGAAGTTCTTTGATGGTAGTAGGAATTCGAATCTCTAAAATCGCTTTTACTTTATCTGGATCTGGATGCAAGCCATAATAATCCACAACATAACCCAGATATTTGAGTTCAGGGCGACAAAAATGGCATTTGTCTCGGTTAACAACCAAGCCAGCAGCTTGTAATCTATCAAATACGAGGGACAACGTTTTCAGGTGAGAATCAAAGTCTTTTGATACGATAACAATATCATCCAAATATACCAAGACCGATGGTTGTAGATCTATTCCCAGGATGTTGTCGATAATTCTCATCCAAGTACTTGGGGCATTAGTTAACCCAAATGGCATACGCCGGAACTGAAAAAGTCCGCGGCCTGGAACTGTAAAAGCTGTATACTGACGAGACGATTCGGCTACGCCGACTTGCCAATAAGCAGATTTGATATCTAATGAGCTGAGATATCGAGCATCGCGCAACTGGTCCAGTATCGAAGATAAATATGGAATCGGATACGAGTCTTTGGCGGTTACGGCATTTAGCTTTCGGTAATCCACACAAAAACGATAGGTGTGGTCTTTTTTAGGTATTAAACAAATAGGAGAAGCCCATGCACTTTTGGAGGGTTCAATGACTCCATTTTCAAGCATGTCATCCACCGCTTCATTGATAATTTTTTGTTTCACAGGGCTAACAGGATAATACCGCTGTTTGATCGGTTTGACGTCGGGAGGAACAATGATTTCATGTTCTCCAACAGTAGTTAAGCCTAACACAGATCCCATGGTTGAAAATTTGGTATCAAGAAGAGTTTCTAACGCTTGTGTTTGCTCCAAGGATAGTGCAGGGTGATCGATGACACCGCATCGAACAATAGATGGTGATGGTGTAAAGTGCCAAACATTATCTGTCAAGATAGGAATAATCCCTACGGCTTTCCAAAAATCGATGCCTAAGAGTAAATCTTGGCATAAGTCCGGAATCACGAGTAAATTTATGATAACGGTTTTATTTTTAAGGGTAATGGGAGTGGTAATGTACCCAGACGAGTAACATTTGTCTCCATTTGCAACAGTGCAAATCGTGGTTTCAGGGATCATTGCTAATCCTAAACGTTGTAACATATGGTAACCTTCTTTCCCAATTATGGAACGTGACGAGCCAGAATCTAGGAGTCCTAGAAGAGGAACACCACTAATTGTCACTTGCACGTAAGGTCGAGCATCATTTGTAACGTGTTGTATAATAAAATCTAGTTTCATCTTAGTTGGGCAAAATGGTTCAAGAGGTAATGGTTTCGCCTGATTAGGGGCCGTGAGCTCGCGGCGATTCAACGAGTTCCCCCGCTTGCGTTTCCCGAAAGGCTATTGGGATTACAGTGCACGCAAGTTTTTGTTGTAAAGCCCTTTGTACCACATCGGTAGCATAGGAGCAGTTTGGGCTCAGAACATTCGGAAATCGTATGCCCTAATTTTTGGCAATTCCAGCATGGGCCATTTACGGAATGGACTGGAGTACGCACTGGAATAGGTTTACGAGGAGCTTGATAGGCAAATTCAGGTTCTAAAGTTGGTAAGGTAGTTCGATTGCGCAACGCATTCACTCTGTTTATTTCATGCAGCACGACATCATATGTTTTACATTCACGCAGCAAATCACACACTGAAGTCAAAACTACAGGACCTAATTTATCTAAATAAAATGGAAGTAAATTCCTTTTAATGATCATAACTTGTTGTCGTTCCGATGGCGGGTGCATAAGTCGAGCAAACATGCTTTGCATGATGGCAAAATAAATATCAATGGGTTCCGTAGGACCTTGAATTCGCAACTTAATCTCTTCTAGGAGATCATCATCATAGTGTGGCGGAAGGAAAGTTTCTCGTAATAAAAATACAAGTTCGTCCCAAGATTGAGCACGCGATGAGTTTATGTTGTACCATAATCGAGCGGGACCTTCGAACAAGTCATATGCCGTTTCAAACAAGGTAACATGATCAACCCCACGCGATCGAGCCATTCTTTCTACGCAATCAAGGAATGTATTTAAGGTATCTCCGGTACCATCTCCACGAAACTTCAATCCCCATTTAAAAATAGGTGTCGAGTTAACCGAAAGAGTTTTCGACGCTGAAGCTCCAACTTTTCTCATAGATTCATCTAACGGTGGCATAATAGGGCTAGATGTTACTGGTTTACGAGGAGCGGGTTGTATATTCAGCATCTGAATCGATTCGTTGAATTTAAATGCCTTTAGATCAAGAGAATTGCGAGTGTCTTTAATTAACTCTTGAAGAGTACGGAGTCGAGATAATTCATCGGCCGATAGGGTTAATAAAGTTTTGGTACGATGCAATCTTTGATCGGCATGCAGTAAAGATGTAACAATTGTTAAGTAAGTGCTACCACCCATTGCATCATCAAATAATTCAACATTTTGTTTTAGCCTACCCATTAATTCAGTCACCGCTATAAAATCTTCCTCAAAGGAATACGGATATGCAGGAAGAACAAAATCAGGTAGTTTTTCCTTTTTCAAGAGTTCACGTAGCATAGCACGGTTTTCATCCACTTTACCAGTAGGTAAACCACCACGGATGTGTAATTCATATTGCAATTCCCTGTCCTTTAATCTATTAATATCTAAGGCCATGGTCAAGAAAAAGAAATCTCCCCCTCTTAACTAAAATCCTAAGCCTAACTAACTTAAAAACTAACCAAAAAAAAAAATCGAGGAAATAATGTTCCAAGAGTAATAATTATATAAAGTACCCCGAATTGAATTAAAGAAAGTAAAAAAAAAATTCCAAATGTGAAAAGATCAAGATGGGTGTCAATCACGCGGCCCTCACACCTTGGTGTGCCAGTTATAACGGTTTCTTTTTGCGCATAAAGAAAAGCCGGAATTGCTCCGGCCTAGCTCAGGGAAAGTACCAGCGCAGCACAGGGGAAAGCGATGGGAACTCAGGGATATTGCGTAGGTTCTGATTGACTGGATTAATTGCGCCACTACGTTTGTAAGCGGAAGCAGGAAACGTAGAACCTGTGTAGGAACAAAAAAAAAACACCTGAAAAGAAAAACAAAGAAAAACGAAACACTACAAATTAGGGGTTGAGAACTGATCGTTTATTTATGGTTGTATATAGTTAGATAAGTAATACGGTAAGGGGGGTAGCGCGAGGCTCCCAAAATATTGAAATTAATAAAATAATAATTAAATAGTTTTCTTTGATTACAGATAAATTTGACACGCAGTCGCAAGGTCACCTAGAACGCTGCTTTAGGTCTTTTTCATGAAAATTAAATGTTAAGGCAATAGTGCCGGGATAAAATCAAGGCCTTGCTTTTAAAGGGCTACTAAATCAAATACCTGACCTGGGGTATACTATGGTACGAATAAACACAAAAACAAAAAATGGCTAGCTTGATAACTGCTTTACAGATTATTGAAATAGTAGGTCTTATGCACAGTAGGTACTAGCGCCAGAAATAGTTCATAAATACTGACACCTGAAGGGTTGTCAAAATGTCAAATATCAAAACTCATTAAATATTCAAGTTCAAGTTAAACAAATATCGTTTACCCATAAAAACAAGTGACCAGTTCTATTGTATTTTTGTCGCAAACAGAGTATCGGTAAATACTCAGATTATGGTGGATAAAAATAATTAATGTCGGGAACAATTATAGGACAGAAAAAAAAAGGAAATACAGGACGGAATCAGAAAAGAAGGAACACAAAATAGGTTAACCAAGGATATCTACGTCGAGGGTGGCTTCTGGAGTGAGTCGCATACAATAGTTTCATAAACATTGAACAGCTGACCTTTCAGTTGATTGGTGGCAGGCAGCGTACCGCTTCCACCGGATTGTCTGAAGCTCAGCGTAGAAAACGATGGTGACAGGAACAAGAACGATACCGCAACGACTGTGTCGACAAAGTTGGAATCCGGAACTCAGGATAACTGTCCAGGCATCAAGCTGATGGTGGCTGTGATATGTCCGCACCAGGGGGTGGCGGAATGACTTTCCACGATTTACGTTACCGTCTGATATATTATGTATAGATGTTACACCAAAAAGAACAAGAAAAGGAAAAGGCTCTAACGGCGTTAAACGAGCCAAAGTAATGATCGGTGTCACATGTGCTTCCAGATCCGCTGGGCGAAAACCCAAAATATTCCCAAGGGAAATAATAGAACACCCTTCTGGTAATAAATTTAGGTAATGGAATCTTCAAAGTAAGTAGATCCTTCCAAATTTAAAGGCTTAAAATTTTCTCACAAAATGAAGATGTAGCAAATGCACACGACAACCTCTTGTTCAAAAGTGACCGGAAAAGAAAAGATAAGAAGCGAAGGAATTTTATCAAAACCAAGGACGACTGGACAGAAGAGTGGACAACACGAGCATAGGCAACACACAATACTTACGGAAGAAACATAAGGAACGAAACAAACTGTTATCTTTGTTCACTTCACTATTCTGAAATAGAAGCTAGAAATTAGCAAAACAAGTTTTAGTTATATTTATTATCCATGTTATTATAAAATGCGCAATATATAGAAATAAATGAACAAAAACATTATAATCACGAAACAAAAATTAATCGCAAAAATTACACTTGAAAATATACAATACAAACCCGTTTCCGCACCACCCAGGAGGTAGAGTTAATGGCGCGTTTTTTTATCGTGGTTTCCCCAGGAGGCCTAATCCACGGAACGTATTTACAACTTAAAATTAATTATGTACACTAACAATTATTTACACTAACAATTATAACCTATTTTTACGCGCCAGACCAGACACAAGTTTTAATAGTCTCGAAACTTGCATACGCGTGTCACAGGGGATATTTATGTCTGTGTTATTGTTTAAGCACTGCTTACACAAACGCTGCGCGACACATAAATTTGGAATATGCACATAACTATTTACACGGTTTTGCAGCGGTGCATCTCGACGGCACTCAAAGTCATAAAAAATAAATACGAAGTCCTTGCCCAACTTTTTCTTGTCTGGAGAATTTTTCACGAATTTTGGGAAATCCTCTGCTCCCCTACAATCTCCAAGAAACCTGCAGGCCAAATTTCAGCTTTCTACAGTAATTTTGGCTGTGCGTTTTCTGTCAGTAACTGATGTTTTACATACAGGGTCTTGTAACAGTGCGTCGGTGTTTGCTAGTTCATAATTTGTAAAAAATATAAAAACCGCGTGTTCAAACTATAAATCTATACAAATTATTTTTGAATGTACAGGGTGTCCCATTTATACGGTGTCAATAAATAACAGTGCTAAAAACAGTTCAACATTTAACGTACGTGTACCACCCCATTTAAAATTGTTGGGGCCACTATTATTTAATTGTTAATTTAGATGTCTCCCTCAAAACCAAAATTGACCTGTTCGAGCGTTTCTGGCAAAATCGGCAAAAATTGGCATTGACTGTTTTCAGTATAAATGGTCCAATAGTAACAATATCCCTTTATTTTAAACCCAATCAGATTGAAATTAAATGTCATGTACGAAACTAAACCAAAATTTACATTCAATTCAATTCAATGCGCAGCGGAAATAAAAATCATTGCCGGAATTTAGCGTCAAATTTCAACCAACTACGTACGGAAAGGAACCTTGTCAACTATCAATATAATACGACCTTGTTGTTGTTTAGCTACAAATTACCTTCTCTTAATATGTAGAAATTAAATGATAGTTTGTGTGCTCCACGCTATACCAATTAACCAAGGCCGCAATGAGAAACTGGTATTATCCGTCTTTGTACATAAGATTTGTGTAGAATTATGTAATTAACAAATTTGCCATGCTAGGGTTTAATTTAAAGATGTATTGCATTTTAATGAATTTGAAGGTTTACAAGCTTAGGAAGGTCGCCAAGTATAAGTACGTGTGAGTTTGTGAAATTGGCCACAAAGGAAATATTCGACCACAAACTGACACTTATTACACTGCGAAAATTGGTGTAAACAAATGAATTTAATTAATGTAAATTAGAACTCTAATTGCATTATTGCGGTTCTCACAATCGAAAGGAAATTTTTCTTTCGATGCGGAACTCTATTTACATATTTGAATAATTCATACCTGATTCGCTTGAAGCACGGTTCGTTTAAATACTCAATACCCTTTTAGTGGGTGGGAGACGTTTCGACACAAGTTGCTTAAAATATTACACCCTGAAATGAATTGACGAAAATTACGAGGAGAAGACGGAAAATAGCGATTGAAACGCCAAGTCCAAACTGGCTGGGTTGACGAGGACTAGATTTTAGATTTGTAAGAAGTACCTACTTATAGGTGTTTCTTCGCTTGTGTTGTAAAAATAACGTGGAAGCTTGTCGATTTGATACTTCTTAGTGGAAGGGATGTCAAGACGGATTCAAGTATTGATTGAACAAGATACTTGGATTAACAACGGATTATAAACTCGTAAATTGTATAAATAGTTAGAAAAGAATTTACAGTAAGTAATTCAATAAAAACTTAAAAAATGTTCAAAATTAACAATAATCAGATCCCCCTTTTACTTTCTAAAACCTTTTGGAGAAGGAATGTTTTCCTTCAACAGTACGAAGACCGTTTCTAAAAAGGCCACTTTTTGCTGTTCTGCCAATACCTACTGAGCATAATTTGTAATTTCGTAAGGATGACTCGATTTCCACAATTATCTTCCTAAAAAAACTCATTAAACAAGTGTCTGATAGAGAAAGAGGTTTGTATAATAAAATTACGGCCTTTTCTGAAGAAAGCACCAATCAATGCGCACTAAAAGCGACGAGTCCAACCGCCTTTAGTACTTACCTGAGTACCCTTTATTTTTTAAACTCCAAATTATCCCTTTTTTCTTTGATTAATGCTGCCGACAATTTTGCTATGGATTCTGTTTTTTCGCAAATGAACATTATGTTGCAGGGGTTCGGTTGGTCCCTAGTACTGTTGGGAGCGAGGCGAAACGGGCAGACTTTACCCATGGGAGGGAACGGGAAAGGTTGACATTTAAGCGGACATAGTAGAGTAGCCGCAATTTTTGCAGACAAAAGAGAAACGGTATAATTAGACATACATCTACGTATTTGGATGGGAGTTGCACCCTGAAGATTGAGCAGGAAGGCAAAAATAACTAAGGGAGATTCAGGAGGGCCACAGATGCAGAGAAGGTGCGCCCAGGGAGAAACGATGCTTGAACTGCAGAGAAGCAGGGCATCTCCGTGATGAATGCCAAAAAATTCAAGAATGCCATAAGGCATGTAGAACAGATTACCAACAAAATTACGTAGAAGAGGAGGCGACTAACACTAGAAAGGTCTACATAGTCAGTTCTCAGTGATAACCGACTGTGATACCAGCTTTTTAGCCCAAAAGTGTGTTCGGCCTATAACAAAGAAAGCAAAATATCGTTTTAAATATTACATATTTATAAAGCGAAATAGATGGAAGGGTCTGCGAGTACCAGTCAGGCCACATTTACAAAAGTAGGGTGCAGCAATTAGTACTCAGGAACTTGTACCTGAAATAAGAAAATGAATAAGGGAAAAATGTCAAAGCTCTTTCCATCTGATAAATCTTCTACTCCGAGTATCTCAATCAAACGGCGTCTCGAGAGGAAACCATCTTCAGAGTCCAGTATTGGATCCATGGAGAATGCGACGCTCACGATCGCATGCTCTGAAAAAAATAAAGGTAAAAGTTATTCATCTAGGAAAAGATAAAGAGATAAAATGGGTAAATGACTACATTAGGTGAGCTTTATAGCTTTGGTAAATTGGTGGACTTGACACCTATAAGTTATTGAATCCGCATTGAACTATAAAGGCGCAATTATTTCGATAGCTGGAAAATGTGTATGGCGCGATTACGTATTATGAAAAGCAGCCGTTTCGTCATAATTTCAACATTCCTAAGCTGAAAACTAATTTTAAAACAAGCCCTCGCTTATTCTAACTGCAGGAAAAAAGTTGCGGTGTACATATTTTGAAGCAGATTCGTTAGGTAATTATTTTAATTAAATTACGAGAGCGGGTATTCATTCCGAGTTAAATGGATTTAATGATAATCCGAAATTATTATTCACTATGTTTCTTTTTTGGATTTCAGCATGTCCTAATTAAAAACGTGAAGAATTAATACACAATCTAATCATTTTCGAAGTGCTTTGACCCACCGAAAGTTGGAGTGGAATATGTACGAAATGTCATATGGCTTGTGTCTAATTGTTTCGAGAAACATAAATGCGCATCCCCACCCTGCTCCGTTATTACACCCTTATAATGATGAATATCACATTTTTCGTAATCTTAAATAACAGGCCTACATTGACAAGTAGATACCGTACAGAGGGCTGTACAACTATATTTCATCATTCTGAGTTGTGAAACCGTGAAGCAATGGAATTTGGAAATCATCTACAGCCTACACAAATAAATCAATGGTGAATAAGAACGGTTGCGATGCGACATCTGTAAAATTTGTTAGAAAGTTTAGGGATATAATGGAACATAGTGTCCTAGTAAAATGGAACAACAGGAAGAAAGAGGACACTTCCACGAAATTGCAGAACCCCTGAGTAAGTGTTTGAATAGACACCTTCTGAGCTTCGCATAGTTTGTGAGAATGCAGGGTGCCGTTGGAGACCGCAGAATTGGAGTGAACCTACATTTCCCAACTAAGAAGGAGTATAGGGAAATCTAATAGATGTCAGGACACGTTTTCAGTACATCCATTGAATAATTCTGTGACTTGAATTAGATTGATTGGGGTTACAAAATTCGTGGAGTCTAATACCATAGTATTATTATGCTAATACCTACAGTTATTCCAGACAAATCAAAGCGCCACTTTCAGGGCACAATTTACTGTATTGACTTTGAGAGGTATTTAAAATAGTATCAGTGTGCACCCCTTCATCGGGAAAACTTTCGCTACATCTCCAATGGATTGAATATGTTTCTAGACGGCTGTAATTTCAAAACCTTAAAAAAACAAAAATTTAGACCTCGAGCCACTAATACCAGGCCATTTTATTATTGGAAGCTCATTGAATACCGTAGGAATTTTATTTTCTCGAGTAAATATAAATTATGATTGGTTTAGTATCACTATGTTTTTGCTATCGCAGCTGGTTTATTTTGACGACCTCCTATTGGTGTATCATTTTTAATGTGCGAACGTTACGCACTTCTTTTCCTTCTCCTTGAGACTTCACTTAAAAATTGATAACGTTTAACAGCTGTCGCCATTTTTGAAAAATTGTAAAATCTTGTGAATTGATTTGGATCGAGGTACATTTCTTCTCAAATTGGAGGCTATAATTTGAATTTAAAGTGGATGCATACGTAGGAACGACCATTTTC